TAGTCTCTTATGTTAATCACATGTTAATTGTAACTTTCAACCATAGTAACTTCTATTTCATAGTGAAAGCTGGAGGTAGGGATGGGCAACTGAGAGATGTCATATGTGAGCAATGTAGCTGACTACCAGAGCTCATAAGCTTTTTGTACTATGGTCAATAGCACATAGATCTTTTCACACTTTGCTGATATGTAAAAGTCTAAAGTGTTAACATGGAAAATGAGCATTTTTTACATGACTTAAAGATATTGCTTGTGAAAAATAAGCAAAAGTACATCCTCTTAGGTTTAATGATTAATATTTGAGAATTTTATCCTATATCCAGTAACATATTCAATATCATGTACTGTTTTAAGCTACCTAAGGACCTTGGAAATTATCAAGATGACATTCTGTAAAATAAAAATACTGTTGAATAATGAATCAGTTTAGTTGAACACAGATTATGTTTTCAAATTCTTAAACATTTTGGAGAACATTAGTTTGCGTGGCAAACCTCTATACATTAAGAAAAACATACCCGAGTAAATAAATGTATTATACTTTAGCACTGTTACGTCAAGAAAAGACATGGGTGTTTTATAAAACCAAAGTTATTGAATTAGTCTTGTGTTTACCAAAGATTTCTGTTATGTGAACTTGGAATATTAAATGTTTCTGGTGTACTTACTGCAGAAAGAAATTTTTTAAAAGTTTAGTACAGTTAAAGTATTAGGAATCCAATTTATTTTCTGGGAATTTTAGGATTGTTTATCTCTTTAAATTATTTATTTTATTTCTGTAAACCAATCAGAATTAATTTGAGACCTTTAATTTAAGAGACTTTATTTTAAGGGGCTTTAAGAGACTTTATAACTTACTGTGTTAATACTTTCCCCTGGCTATTAACGTCATGATTATACATTGTGATAAAGCTCTCTGAATTACAGACACATAAAGAGCTTATAGCTTCAGTTCTACCATTTCAGCCACAGGTCAAGACTGAGCACAGAAATATAAACAAATACAGATTCTTAATTGATTTAGCTCACCGTGGATTAACAGACAAGGACTAACAAAGTGGATTCTCTATCATTTCTTATGGGTAACTATAATTCATTAATCCATTTACAGAGATCTCCAAATCATAAAACTTCTTTTCAATTATTGCTGCGACCAGTGGGGTACAGATTATTGTCTAAACTAGAACAAATACAAAATCAGTAGAAAAGAAAAAAAGTGGAGTCAGCAGAATTAAATTTTTATTGCCACTTGGATTCACAGTGGGAACCAAGATGGATCAGGGCTCAAGCTGCTCATAGGGTTATGTATCTGATTCTGTCAGATCCATTTTGGCATTGGGAATCTTGTTGGATGACCTCCAAAAGGTTGAGAGATACTTTTTGATAAAGAAAATCATTAATAAATGACTATGTCTCAAAAATTTAACTCATTACTGCAGGAATCAGAGGCCCTTTTGATTTCTCTTACTGGTTTCCTAACAGATATCTGAGACTTAATTAAGTATCACCTCTAAGCCTTTCTTTCTTGCAGTCCTATCTCAGTTAGTGTTAGTTCCATTTCTCCAGTAGCTCAGACACAAAACCATGAAGTTATCCTTGGATTTCTTTCTAACTGCACATCTGATCTCTTAGCAAAGTCATCTTGGTTCTACCATCAAAATATACTCAGAATCCATTAGCTGCTCAGTTATAAAAAATAAGATCAGATCTTTTTCATTTCTTTGCTCAAAACCCAGTGGGCTTCTCAGAGTAATGAAGTTCCTTCAGTGGCCTTCAGAGCCCTACCCGGTATGGCTTCCATTACGCCTCTCTCTTCCTTTCCCACTGGCCTCCCATGCTCACCCTACTCCAGCCAGACTTTGCTCATAACTATTCTTCACACTTAACGGGCACACTTCTGCCTCATGGCCTTTTTACTTGCTGTACAACGTACAAGGATCTACATTCTTTGTCCTGCCAGGAATGTAGAGGCCACATGAAAGCCTCTTTNGCCAACGCATGAAGGTCAAAATGTGGACTGTCAAGCATCAGCTAGACATGTGAGGGTTTGGGTCTAGTGACGTAGAAGCGAATGGAGGTGAGAAGTGGTCCTCATTTCACACAGGGTAGATGACCCGCCTACTCCATGTGTCCCTACAGTCTTGGTTAGAGTAGAGTAGTCATGAGTTTGTTGATTTAATTGCCCCATTAAAACCTCAGCCTCTTGCCAGCGTGCAGGACGCTGTGGCGGGCAGAAGCTGCTTATGCCCTCTGTTGGCTTTAGATGCCCCCATCACGCCCCACGCCCAGCTGCGTACCTAGTACCCATTTGTGAGAGGTGGTCCACGATGGACTCCCATTTCGCCCCGAGGCGCTGGCGGCGCGGAAGGGCGTCTCTCCCTTTTGATCTGCTGGGAGACAACCGCGCCTCGGCAGACAGGCAGCTGCGCGCGGCTGGGGCCCCAGCGAAGCTGCGGGTGCTGGGGAGCGGCTTCCGCCTGCGTCCGGACTCGCGGAGGCGGCTCCGGCGCGGTGGTCCTTCCTCTCCTGGCGGCCGGGAAAGGACAGCTGGTGAGGGCTGGGGCGGCGGGGCGGGGAGCCTTCCCCCAGGGCGGGACGGGTGAATATGGGTGAATGTAGTAACCACATCGTTTTTTCATGTGAAACCTTCGTAAGAGTGTATATCAATAATACCTTAAGAAAAAATGTAAAAAAATTTATAATACTCCTCTGTGGCTGTGTCGATAATTCCGGAGGGTAGCAGTGGGTGGGGACAGGGATAAACGGGAAACCTCTGTAACTCCCTCTTCATGTATGAGCACACCTAACAGTGCTCTAAAACGTTCATCTTTACAAAAACCGGGCAATATGCACAACATCATCTGAACCACAAACACACGCGCATACATTATCTACATGTATGTTTATATGCATATATGGACACACATACTAAGTAGAGAACGGAAATGTCTTTCTTGCAGCGACAGAGGGTGACTGAGGGAAAATCGCGGCACTCCACAGGGCCATGATGTGCGGTGAGCCTGAGACCCGAGGACCTGCGCAAATGCCCTGCACCCGCTCAGCCTCTTCAGGAAACATGAAGTCCACACACAGAGTGCCTCAAGTCTGGCTGGCTGTGAAGACACCCACCCCAAGGGAAGGGGTGCTTCCTCCCGAACCCTCCCCATGGCCAGGGGCCCTGCAGCTTCCCAGCTCGCCTCTGTGTCCCCACACTGGCCCCCAATTCCCTGAACCACCGACTTCCGACCCCCAGATACCCCCACTCGTCACCTTGCCTCACAGCTCCCCACCATCCCCAGATCCACATCCCACGGCTCCCGCCCCCCCAACTCCCGACACCCACGGCCACACATTCCCCCATGCACCCAACATCCGAACCCCCACATCCCCCCTTCTTCCCCCTACTGCCCCACCTCCCCCCATCCCACCACCACACCACGTCCACTAAGGACCTGGGGAGGCAGAGCCCCGGGCCTCGTGAGCCGCGGCAGGTGGGAGAAGGCGGGGTTTAAGGGAGGCCCAGGGGGCGGAGCGAGGAACGCCCGGAATCCTTGTGCGCTCCTCCTGGCAGCCTCCAGGGGGCGGTCTGACCCAGCATCCGGATGTGACGTCATTAGCCTTCCGCCCGGGAGGCCTGAGGGACGGGACGGCCTCGGTGTCAGACGCCGGATTCAGGTCACCCGCAAGGGCCCCAGGTAGAACCGGGGGGAGGCCTGAGGGCCCCCGCCCAAGAATCCTGGGGTGCCATGCCTTCACTCAAAGAGGCCCTGGGAGGGTCCTCAGGCTGGGCACCACCTCCCACATGCCACACCCATGTCCCCACCCACCATTTTGAATTATGAGCGTGAAGGCCTTGGTCTGAGGAGGGAACCCAGGTGGGCTGGGGCGGGGGCCAGACACACCGGGAGTCAACAGGAGGCCAGGAGGGAGGGCCGAGGGCGCCCCCAGAACCCACCTCAGGTGCAGTCGTCTGCCCAGGGAACCCCCGGGTTGGTGACCCGTTGAGACGATCGCAGACGTCCCGCAGGGGTGTGTTAGGGCAGGGAGGGCCCTGGTCTGAGGGGACGGCCCCGGTCAACAATCACAGGATCCCAGGCCCTGCCCGCGTTGGGGCTGAGGACCCTGAGGGAGGAGGGGAAGGGGCCCCAGACGAGCCGCCCCTGCCTGTCAGCCCTGACTTCGTCCTCCGGGCCTCAGAGGGACTGGGGACTGGGACCGGCTTAAGGAGCAGGACCACCCTTGGGCAAGGGACCGCCCCTCCCATCGGCACTGGGAGCCCCGAGCTGGGATGGCAGTCCTGGCAGCGAGGTGCCCCTCAGGCCCTCTTTCAGGGAATCCAGGAAGCGGCCGGTGAGGAAGGCGTCGGTGTGAGGCACGTGTCCTGAGGTCGCAGACCCGCAGAGGCCCAGGCCAAGCCAGGAGTCAAGGTGGGGCTCCCGACCTCACCGTGTTCCCAGGGCTCTCCTAGCCCACACAGCGGGTCCCCGTCGCCCAGGCCTCTGACGCCCCCTGTCCCCCCGGGCGCCAGGGCCCGCAGCACCCACCTCCTGCTGTTTCTCCTTCCCTCCAGCTGCTCAACAAGTCATGGCTGGTCCTCCCCCGAAGCGACGGCGCTACATGCCCGAGGAAGGCCTTCCGACCCTCATGGAGACCCAGGGCCTCGTGGGTGCACAGGACCCTGGGGCGACAGAGGAGGTTGCTTCCTCCTCCTCCTCCACGTCCTCCGCCTCCGCCACGTCCTCCTCCTTCCTCTCCTCTTCCTCTTGCTTTGCTCATATCTCAGGCGGCGAGGAAGAGGTTTCTATGGTCTCACCAAGCCCGGGTCCGCTCCAGGGCCCTGAGCGTGCCTGCCCCTCCCCCACTGCCTCTGCCTCCGAGCCACCCACACAATCCGATGGTGGCTCCCGCAGAGCAGTGGAGGCGGGTCTAGGCACTTCACAGTTCCCTCCAGAAGGCAGATCATTTCCCAGAATCGTGATTATCGACAAGGTAGCTCACCTGGTGGCCTTCCTGCTCCTCAAGTACCTTGCCGTGGAGCCGGCCACCACGAGGGCGGAGATGCTGGAGGTGCTGGGCCAGGATCACGAGGACTACTTCTCTCTGTTCTTCAGCTGCGTCTCCGACTGCTTGCAGCTGGCCTTTGGCATTAACATGGAGGAAATGGATCCCAGCGACCACTCCTACATCCTGGTCATAGCCCTGGACATTACCTACAGCGGGAAGCTGCGCAATGACGAAACCCTGCCCATGAGCAGCCTCCTGCTGTTGCTCCTGAGCATTATCTTCCTGGAGGGTGGCTCAGTCCCTGAGAAAAAGTTGTGGGAAACGCTGGGTATCTTAGGGATATTTCCCGGGAGGGAGCACGTCATCTTCGGGGACCCCAGGGAGCTCATCGCCCAGGTCTGGGTACAGGAGCAGTACCTGGAGTACCAGCAGGTGCCCGACAGCGATCCCGCTCGCTTCCACCTGCTCTGGGGCCCCAGGGCACACGTGGAGACCAAAGCGGTGGAAGTCCTGGACTTTTGGGCCAAGGTCAAAGATAGCACCGCTAATGCCTGTCTTACCTGGTATAAGGAGGATGTGGGAAATCAGGAAGGGCCAGGCCAGGGTAGCATTGCCACCACAGACGATTCTGCCGCCATGGCCAGTGCAAGTTCTAGTGGAACGTCCCCTGGCTTCTGCTCTGAGTGACATCAACGCATCCTGTCCCCTCTGTGTTGTCAAAGTCCAGTCAGTGAATGAAGCGGTGGAGGGCCAGGCCAGGGCAACTTATCTTTTATTTTTGGCATTTTCAGATGTTACTTGTTTTAGAACGTTTCTTACCATCGGAATTGAATTGTAGATTGACATTGCTCACATATTTATTGCTGTTTATCTGGTTGATTAGAAATAGCTTTGCTATTTTGTGAAACAAGATGAAAAACCTATCATACTCTTTGTAGCTTGTAACTTCCCATGACATTAGAATAAGAATTTCCTTGGGAATGGCAACAAATTTAGCAATGAAATAGAGAAATTAACTTAAATGGTTAATTTTTGTATTCTCTCATAATTATTAGTCTATACTTGTATGAGAAAAGATATGTATCTAGATTTTCTTAGCTTGTTCAAATATGTACAAGAAACTAAATAGTAATAAATGACCTTCCTGCTCCCTGGCTCATTTACTCTCCCAAATTCCCCGAGCCTCTGCTCACTGGAAGGCCCTGTGTTAGCGGTGGGCCACTGGGTAAGCAGGACACCCACCCCCCTCCACGTACCCACCTAAGAGTGATAGTCTAGGAGCTGGTGTCCTGTGAGGAAGGTGGGAGGAACCTTTGTAAAGGAAGGGGTGAGCAGGCGCGGCTACAGGGGAGGGCGTGCAGCCCCCATGCCCTGAGCTGGGCCTTCTGCAGCTTCGGGTGCTGCCATTCCTCCTGTGGGATCCAGTGCAGCGAGGCTGGGTGGGGGCAGAGCCAGACTGGCGGTGGATGGATAGCTTAGGGGTGAGAGGCAAGGCTGAAATGTAACGTTGCTCTGATTAGTCCCTTTCAGGTCTAGGGCAAAGCTGGTGAGGTCTCCTCGGGGGCAGCAAGGGGGTTGCCCTGGGCTCTCACCCCAGTGCCATTGAAGACAGCGCCCGCCACCCTAGGTGTCGCATAGCCATCATCTGCAAGCATTTGCGGAGGCATAAGGGTCCCGCCCCTTGAAGTGATGCCCAGAAGTCAGTGCTGCACCGTCTTCTCCCTGGCCTGGGAGGGCGAGTACTGAGTCCCTAGAAACGACACTGTTATCGGTGGCCCTGAGTTCCCTTTGACCCATGTTAAGCAAGGGTAGAGGTGGGGATGAGATGAATCAAAATTGGTGATTTGAAGGAAGAGAAGCTGCCCAAGAAGGAAGAAGTGGGAGTCTGACTTCCGTTGTGGGAGCCTGTAGGATGTTGCTCCAGCTGGGGAAGCGACCCGGCCCCACAAAGTGAGTGAAATATCCTCCGGGAGGAAGGTGGGCAGAGCTGCAATTTGGGGTGAGTGCATGTTCAGTGGCCAGTTGAGCTGCAGCTTCCCCAAGGTGTCATGGGAAGAAATCCTTTCCCGAGGAGCAGGTGTTAGAGGCTGGGGTCCCAAGAAGACGAGAAAACACCACCGCTACGTAAAGAGCCCATCTGTGCTGGGGTCCGTGTGTTCAGCTTGGGCACAAGTGTGTGGGCCCACAGCAGTGACTGTCAGGTTAAGAGTGTGACCTCCTTGCGTGGAAAGCAGGGCCTGCTGAGCTATTGGAGGTTATTGCCCTGGGAAGTGCGATAGGGACCCTGGAGGGAAGGG